CAACCGCAAAGGCATCTATCTCATCGACCGCAATCGTTAAAATTATAAACAAGATTAAATTGCAAAACGGCAAATACCACTACACATCAACATTACAATGATGTTCGGCAACGGCAACAGCAGAAGCAGCAGCAACAAAAGCTAAAAATCACAACAGGAAGTGTCAGTGAAGGGGACAGTAGAGAGTGGGTGTCAAGAGTTGAAAATCCGTGATAACCCTGAGTAGAATGGAAGTTTTTTACTCTTTAATGGAAATATATAGATTCTGCTCTAATAAGTGCTACAGCCTACAGAGACTTAGAAGGGCTTAAAAAATATTTTTAATATGAAACAAGGCAAATGTACGAACAGAGATTTAGAATCGTTTTTCCTGGTTAAACCTTGGCAACTTTTCCTTCCCGTCTGTATAGACATGAGCTTCACCTTATCTCCACAAAAAATAGTCTAAAGCCGTTAAATCGCTGATCTTACGCGAGTCAAAAATGGGGGTAAAGTATCATTCAGTTTTTGCCGACGGATGTATAGCCTCAGTCCACTTATTTAAATATATTTTGGCATCAGTATTAATTATTCCTCATGTTGAGCCTTTATGGTTCCGAAGTTTCCGAAGGAGTTGACCCACATTGTCCAACTCTTCTCTGATATATAGCTAATAAAAATATTACCACGTGCCACATTCCGACTATATCAGTTGATATGAGATATGTGAAAATTTTTAGAGAATGTTAAAAAATGCGTGAGGTGTCAGATATAGTGGATCGAAGTATTTCCTCCCCTACTAAAGAGAAAAATATTGGGACCTGCAAAAAGTAAAAAAAAAATCGAACATTTATTTTCAATTTTATGCTTATAATTGTAAATGTAAAAACTTTTACTTTTTGTGGTGGAGGAGGTTCCCTCTGATACTTGGGTCAAAAAACTCCTTCACGTCAGATCTCTTGTTGAGGGAAATATTAAGATATACCAGGTTTGAATGGAATTGCTGACCTGTTTCGCAAGTTATGAGAGATTTAAATATTAACAATTAAAAAAGCTGTAAGTTCAGCCGGGCCGAACTTTAAATACCCTCCACAATTTGGAACGAATTTGCCAATTTTCCGTTATAATAAGCTCTATGCGACGAAGGCAACTTTTGTCATAAGCTATATTTCAAATGCGAAACTTGAAAAAAATCTTTTTGTAATGTAGCTAAAATCATCAAGATACCGAATATAGGAAGGTACCATGGGGGTTATACCAAAACGTTGACTTGCACAGACAATTTTCTGTCATAGGCTGTAGTATCCATTACGAACGTCAAATACCAAATTTGATACAGTTCCGGTGAATAATGTAGCTAAAATCATCCAAAAACCGAAAATAGGGAGGTACCATTATATGAGGGCTATACGAAGACGTTGACCTGCCCTGACAATTTTCTACCTTAGTATCCGTTACGAACTTCAAGTACCAAATTGGAAACAATTACGGTAAATAATGTCGCTAAAATCATCAAAATACCGAATATCAGTAAGTGCTGTTATATGGGAGCTATACGAAGACGTGGACCTGCACAGACAATTTTCTGTCATAGGCTGTAGTATCCATTACGAACTTCAAATACCAAATTTGAAACAATTCCGGTGAATAATGTCGCTAAAATCATCAAAATACCGAAAATAGGGGAGTACCGATATTTAGGGGTTATACGAAGACCTGAACATAAATAGACAATTTTTTCTCATATATTGAAGTACCTATTAAGCACTTCAAATATGAAATTTGAAACAAAAAAAACGGTGAATAATGTAGTGGATAGAAGGAGTGGATGGAAGGAGTGGACCGATATATTCAATCTTCACACCAGACCTTGGTTTAGTAGAAATAATGAGATGTGTGAAATATTAAGAGAACCGGATGCTTATTTCGGATTTTATAACCGTTTTTGGTCATTCAAAACTTTGACCCTTTGTGGGGGAGGTACCAGGAGGAATGGTCCGATCTCTTTTTCACAACATATTTTACGTTAATTGAAATAATGAATAACAAATATTGTGATATGTGAAATCTGAAGAGAACCGGATGTTCATTTCGGATTTTATAATCCTGGGGGAGGTACCAAAAGAATGGTCCGATCTCTAACATCTTTATAACAGATCATGTGTCGATAGAAATATAAAGATTTGTCAAGTTTGAATGGAATCGGATGTTAATTTCGCGTTTTATGAGCTCCATGGTTACTCAATATTTTGACACTTTGTGGGGGAGGTACCAGAAGGAGTGGATCGATATATTCCATCTTCACACCAGACTTAGGATTAATAAAAATATTTTGATGTGTGAAATATGAAGAGAACCGGATGCTTATTTCGGTTTTTATGGTCGTTTTGGTTGTTCAAAACTTTGAACCTTGTGGGGGGAAGTACCTGAAGAAATAATCCGATCTCTACCATCCTTCTAACAGATCTTGTGTTGATGGAAATGTTGAGATGTACCAATTCTGAATGGAATCGGAAGTTAATTTGGTGTTTTATGAGCTTTATGGATATTCAAAATGTTGACCCCTTGTAAGGGAGGTACCAGAAGAAAGGGACCGATATTGTCCATTTTCGCACCTGACCTAACACTGATGCAAATATTAGGATTTACAAATTTGTAGCAAAATCTATTGATCCTTTCTCACTCAGTGCACATTTTATGCGATTTGTAATTATTCAAAATGTTGACTACTCTGTGGGAGAGGTACTTGATGGAGTGGACCGATATTGTTCATTTTCGCATCTGACCTAGCACTGATGCAAATATTAGGATTTGCAAAGTTGGAGAAAAATCGGATTATCTTTTCTCTTTCTGTGCAGTAAATTATTTTATTTGAAAATGTTGACATTTTTGGGGTACCAGAAGAATTGGACCGATATTGCTCATCTCCGAACTCGACATAATTTTGACAAAAATATTACGATGTACCAAGTTTGGATCAAATCAGATACTCCCTTTGAGAATTATCGTGTGCACCAACCAGACAGACAGACGGACGGACATCGCTAGATCGACTCCAAATGTCCCGAAACGGATTTGGTCCAAGGAGATGTAGGGTCTAAAACCATTATTTCGATGAGACACGTTGTAGCCGTATCAAATGATACAGGATGAGATAAATAAACTGCAACAAGGTCAAAAGCTATAATTTTTATTTTTTTTTTTTAATTTTATTGAATGAAAGCAAAAAAATCGGAAATAGCATCAAATTTTAGAATAAGTTTAGATTTGTTCGAATTGGTCACCTTTGGCACGAATTATGGCCTTCAAACGGCCAATGAAACCGTCACACGCTGGCCGAATGTTGCTCTGCGGTATTTTGATCCATGCCCGGCGAAGCGCTTGCTTGAGGTGATCGACACTTTGGTATTTTGTAGTGACAACCTTGTTTTCCAAAATACTCCAGGCACAATAGTCCAACGAATTGGTATCCGGAGATTTTGGTAGCCATTGTGTGCTGGAAATGAAGAGAGGAACCTCATTTTGTAACCATTCTTGGATGGCGCGTGCTGAGTGCGATGGTGCTGAGCCCTGTTGGAATGTCCAATGTCTGCGTCCAAAATGTTTGCGTGCCCTAGGCTTTAATACACCCTGCAGAATATTTTTGCGATAACATTCGGCATTTATTGTGATGCCACGGTCGATTAATACGAGCGGAGAGTGACCATCGGCTGTTATGACGGCCCACATATTCTCCATGGACGTTGCTTGAGTTGTGGTGGCTCACGAGCCATTTTCGGCCACTGCGACACGGGTTGCGATCAAGTCGCTTCTTTACTTTTCAAACTATTTCTGCTGAAGTTGGTGTTTTCTTCCGTTTACTTTCTTGACGCCGAGCTAGGCTACCAGTTTCACGGTAACGAACGATGGTACGAGACACAAATTATTTATTCACATTTAAATGTTGGGGTTCTCTAACGATAGCCACTTGTGGGTTTCCCAGCCAAATATAAAGAAATCACACTATCACGCTTGAATTCCATCACGAATAACTTTTTTTTCTGGAAAATTCTCATAAAAATCCCTGTTGTACGCTTGTATTGAGCTGTCACTGGAATAATTTTAACAGCGGTCGAAGTAGTGGCTGAGAAACGACAGCGGTCCGAAGTTGGTTGCAGTTTTTTTTATCTCACCCTGTACAATGGGTCTCCTATATTTTGAGGTATACTTCGAACATTTTGGATAGAGAAATTAAAAAACTTTAAAATTTGAAAGAAGAGATTTTCAAAATCACTGGAACAGAAATAGGGTCATTTCGGCCAATTTTTTGAAATAGACCCGATTTAAGGATAACTCTGATTTTAAGATTTTCTTACTTTTCGGCACGTCTTTCTATTTAACTTCATCAAATTTTGACATTTTGAGTTCTTCTCATGTAGAAACACTAATCACAAAAAATATCAATAAAGGTCCAACTTTTGCTACAGCCCTTAGCCGTCTACCCAAGACCCTTAACAGGTCCTCTTTTTATTTAAAACAAAACTAATTGTGTGGCATAGATATTAACATTACTTAGCATTTGACCTGATAACTGTGCTTATATCTTCCTGTTGTGTTATCCCTTAATAGTTTTTGTGTTTTTTTCTTCTCTTTTGCTCAATTATCAGTTTCTTTTATCTTCGTCTTCCTCTTCCTGCAGAACATTTACACTCAAACGCTGAAACGATTTTATTAGTTTCGAACAAGTAAAGCTTGAAAATTGAATATTAAAAACTATTGTCCGCTGTGCTTGGATGTTGGCCGTTGTCTGTTGTCTGTTCGACCCCTTCGGGGTGAAAGTTAATGACATTTGACTTGAACGAACTCTTGTGATTGCATGCGGCAGCATGCTGTTGAAACTTTTCAACAATGGACAACAAGTTGAAGTAATGAAATTAGTTTCCTATTTTTCCATTTTATGTTGTTTAGTCAACTTTTTACCGCTTGTTTTCACCGCCCCGCACCACCTCACCTCATGTTTTCCTTTTTTTTTTTTGTTACAGAATAATGCCTTGGATATGAGGGGGGTGCTGCCCAGAGACATCAGCCAGCCAGCCAGGTTTTTATTGTTGTGGTGGACAACGGAACAGTTAAAGGTATAATGAACAGTAATAGCCTACAACAATGGTGGGAGAACACATATCATCACCACTTGAACCAACAGCAGCAACAACAACTGGCGTTTGATGCCAGCCTATTCCGGACCCAGTTTCCGGATTACTATTACAGCTCGACATTGAGTTCGCAAATATTCGATGATTCGCAGGATTTTATCAATCATGCAGCTTTACAACAACAACAGCAACAAGATTCCTTTGAAAATTCGAATGGTGGTGGCCCCGGTGCCGGGGTCTTTGACAGCTATGAAAACTTGACATTTATAAGCCCCTATGATGGAGATCGCGATGAAAACTCAATACCCTCCCTAACATTGTTATTCATGGCAATTTCCTATGGACTTGTGGTATTTGGTGGAGTTCTGGGCAACGCCACACTGCTGCTGACCCTATGCTCTGCTTCATCGGTGAGACTGCGAAATCCTCTACTGCTGGCCGTGTGCATTGCAGATTTACTGGTAACCGGGATATCGGCACCGGTAACGCTGCTCAATCTGGCCATGAATCGGAAGACGAGAACTCTGCCATTGCAGCTGTGTAAAGTTATTGATTTTATACAGGTGAGTTTGGCTTAAAATAAAATTTAAAAAAAATCTCCCTAAATGATCGAAATAATCTCAGATATTCAGAAAAAGAATCTTAAAATCTACAACAGTAACAAACCTCCAAAAAATTAAAAAAAAATCAATTTTATTAGTATTTAAAAACAACTCCAAATTATTCTTAACCTAAAAACACCTTTAAACCAGACCTCTGAAAAACTCGCTCAAATTTGTTCAAAGAGTAAAAATCACTCGAATTTGAGTAGGAGCACTACTGAGAGCAAAAAAATCGTGCTAACTAAATTTCTAGATGTCGCTGGAGTAGGATTGAGCATTTTTCCCGTTTTTGGGTGGAAACAAAATTCGTTCAAAATCGAGCAGATTCCACTCTTGTCGAGTACTCTCTTACAGTTCTTGTCAAATCGTTATTGTATTCCTACTCATTTATACTCTTCCTCTATTTCGAGCAAAAATGCTTCCACCCTATTTTTCAAACAGAAGTGGAAAGGGGTGTTCCACACAAAACAAGAAAGTGAAGAGTAGACTCTACTCTTCGAGTCCTACTCTTCGCCCCTCCCAATATTCGGTATTTTAATGATTTTAGCGGCATTATTTACCGGAAATGTTTCAAATTTGGTATTTAAAGTTCGTAATGGATACTACAGCCTATGACAGAAAATTTTCTGTGCAGGTCCAAGCCTTCGTATAGCCCCCATATAACGGTACCTCCCGATATTCGGTATTTTGATGATTTTAGCGACATTTTTCACCGGAAATGTTTCAAATTTAGTATTTGAAGTTCGAAATGGATACTACAGCCTATGACAGAAAATTGTCTGTTCAGGCCCAAGCCTTCGTATAGCCCTCTCATAACGGTACCTTCCGATATTCAGTATTTTAATGGTTTTAGCAACATTTTCTCCGGAATTCTTTTAAATTTGGTATTTGAATACTACAGCCTGTGACAGAAAATCGTCTGTGCAGGTCCACGTTTTGGTATAGCCACGATATATTGGTACCTCCATATATTCGGTATTTTTAAGATTTTATTAGAATTTTTAACGGATTCTGTTTTTTTTTTAATTGTCACATCCGTCTCAAATGGTGGAGGGTAATCAAAATTCGGCCCGACCGAACTTACAGCTTTTTTACTGGATTTTTTTTTTGTTCCACAGTGTAATTCTTACTTTGACCAACCCTATTTTGTCAACATTAATTGTTTTTTTTTTTTTGTTCTGCTTTTTTCTTGTTTCAATTCAGGCCACACCAGTTGCTGCCAGTACTTTGTCATTCTTTCTACTTTCACTGGATCGTTATGCAACCGTAAAACATCCTCGTCTGGCTCAACTACGTCAACGTCGTTATTTGCACGTTTCCTTGGCGATTTTCTCGTGGATGACATCAACCATTGTTAGTGTTCCATTTTTATTTATCTATAAAATTGTTGCAAACACAGTTGTTATTAAGAATTCTGCTGCTGCTGGTGCTGCCGTCGCTGCTACACACCGGTCATTACCTACATCACCACCACCATTGCCAACAACGTCACCGTGGTCGGCATTAACATCAACATCCTCATCATCGTCGTCGTCTTCGCTGTTGGCATCCGAAATGACAACCATCCCCACTCCAACGGCCATTTCCGCTGGGGAATTTCCCAACGTTAGCATAAGTTGCCATTCGGATCCTGCTGCCAATCCTGTATTTGTTGTTTTCATTTTGATACATACCTTTATTGTTTTCATTTTGCCCGGTGTCGGGGTGCTCCTGAATCATTATGGTGTTCGAAGGAAATTATGTGCACTGTCGCTGACAGCTCGTGCAGCACACGGTGAACTGCCACTTCCGATGCCAATATTAAGACGTCAAACCCACATGGTGATTGTAACGGGAGTTGCCAATGCCCATCAGGCGGCGGGCTGTGGTGGTGCCACAGATGACACATCGAATGGTGGTGGCGACATACAAATGCAAAATCTAAATCCCCGCAGTAGTATACCACCAACGACGCGGCATTTCATCAAATCAAAGAATCCCATATCGCCAAGGTAGGAAAGTCAATTAAAAAGACATTTTTAGTTTTTGTAGATGGGGATGAAAGTCGTCTCTATAGGCGACGTGAAAGTCGTCTTTTATAGACGACTTGAAACTCGTCTCTATCGGCGACTTGAAATTCGTCTCTATCGGCGACTTGAAAGTCGTCTCTATAGGCGACTTGAAAGTCGTCTCTATAGGCGACTTGAAAGTCGTCTCTATAGGCGACTTGAAAGTCGTCTCTATAGGCGACTTGAAAGTCGTCTCTATAGGCGACTTGAAAGTCGTCTCTATAGGCGACTTGAAAGTCGTCTCTATAGGCGACTTGATAGTCGTCTTTTATAGACGACTTGATAGTCGTCTTTTATAGACGACTTGACAGTTGTCTATAAAAGACGACTTGAAAGTCGACTTTTATAGACGACTTGAAAGTCGTCTTTTATAGACGACTTGACAGTCGACTTTTATAGACGACTTGACAGTCGTCTTTTATAGACTTTCAATTTCTAAGTCTTTTATTGACGACTTGATAGCTGTCTTTTATAGACGACTTGACAGTTGTCTTTTACAGACGACTTGAAAGTCGACTTTTATAGGCGACTTAAAAGTCTTCATTTATAGATTACTTGAAAGTCGTCTTTTATAGACGACTTGAAAGTCTTCTTTTATAGATAACTTGAAAGTCGTCTTTAACAGACGACTTGAAAGTCATCTCTATAGACGACTTGAAAGTCATCTCTATAGACGACTTGAAAGTCGTTTCTATAGACAACTTGAAAGTTGTCTCTATAGGCGACTTGAAAGTCTATTAAAGACGACTTGAAAGTCGTCTTTTATAGACGACTTGAAAGTTGTCTTTTATAGACGACTTGAAAGTCGTCTTTTATAGACGACTTGAAAGTCATCTTTTATAGACGACTTGAAAGTCCTCTTTTATAGACGACTTGAAAGTCGTCTTTTATAGACGACTTGAAAGTCGTCTTTTATAAACGACTTGAAATTCGTCTTTTATAGGCGACTTGAAAGTCATATTTTATAGACGACTTGAAAGTCGTCTCTATAGACGAATTGAAAGTCGTCCCCTTAGACGAGTTGAAAGTCGTCTTAATGGACGAACGGAACTTGTCTTGGGGTCGCGTTTATATTCATTTCTAAATACGAATATTTCATCCTCTTTCTTCCCCCAGGGCAATGCGTGAAATTCGTGAACACTCGCAGAGGCAGAGGATGCATCGTTCATCAACACGGGGTCGGCGTGTAGCTACACCGGGCATACCCTTGCCACAAACCTCCACGCTGCGCTCAAGACGCCATTTAGCCAACATGCTAATTGGTTCCGCATTAATATTCATTATATGCTGGACGCCGCATGTCTTTTGTGTCATCTATCGGATTATGGGCTACAAGGAACATTGTTCGAAATCATCGCGATATTTTAATTTACTCTTGGGTAAGTAGATTTACTACTTCTTCTCCCCCCAACCAAATACTGGTGGCAACTACGGATTTTTGTTTACATTCCATTTCACAGGTTATTTATACTCCGCCCTGAGTCCCATCATTTATTGGGCACTCAATCACAACAGTCTGCGACAATCACCATGCGCTCCGCTCATACGTTTGCGTTCAATGCAGAAATTCCTAAGGACACGTTTTCGTTCGAATCCCGTTCCCCCGCCCCCATCGTCAACCAACGAGGCTCAATTGGGTGCATTTAATCCGAAATTAATAAAACTAACACCAAAACAATATCGGGCTCAGGCTTCATCGCATTATCTGTACTAATAACTACGAAAGTGGCAACGATGAAAAAATTAAACCGAATTTGTTTTTGCCAACGTATTAAATTTAAAAGAAACAAAAATGTAGTAGCTCTTCTTCTTCTTTTTCTACTTTTCAAAATTTCTCTGTATCCTTTTTTCCTGAGAAAAAAACAAAAACTATATGAAATGTATATCCCTGAACCAGTTTCTCTATTTCTGTTTAGTGAGTGTGTACTTTCTCCTCAGTAGATAAAAGTTACACTTAAGCCTATGTGGGGATTAAGGGAAAAAATCTCCAAAAATATTAATTGTTTATAAAAGTGGTGCCAAGTAAACAGCAGATTCTCGATATTCTAAACCATGGTTCAATCAATAGGTAATAAACGCAGCACGTCCTCAGATGATCGTTGAAAAAATATTTTTAAATATCCACGTCCTCTGATGGTCGTTGAAAAAATATTTTTAAAAAATACACGTCCTCTGATGGTGGTTGAAAAAATATTTTTGAAAAATCCATTTCCTCTGATGGTCGTTGAAAAATATTTTTTAAACAATCCACTTCCTCTTATGGTCGTTGAAAAAACATTTTTAAAAAATCAAAGTCCTCTGATGGTCGTTGAAAAAAAATATTTTTCAAAAATCCCCGTCCTCTGATGGCCGTTGAAAAAAATATTATTTAAAAATTGACGTCCACTGATGATCGTTGAAAAAATATTTTTAAAAAATTCACGTTCTCTTATGATCCTTGGAAAATTTTTTTTAAAAAATCCACGTCTTCTGATGGTCGTTGAAAAAAATATTGTTAAAAAATCCATGTCCTCCGATGGTCTTTAAAAAAATATTTTTTAGAAATTCAAGGTTTCTGATGGTCATTGAAAAATATTTTTTAAAAAATCAAGTCCTCTGATGGCCATTGAAAACTATTTTTTAAAAAATCAAGTCCTCTGATGGCCATTGAAAACTATTTTTTAAAAAATCCACGTCCTCAGATGGTCGTTGAAAAATATTTTTAAAAATCCACGTCCTCTGATGGACCTTGAAAAAATTTTTAAAAAATCCAGGTAATCTGAAGGTCGTTGAAAAATATTTTTAAAAAATTCACGTCCTCTGATGGTCGTTGAAAAAATATTTTTAAATATCCACCTCCTCTGATGGTCGTTGAAAAAATATTTTTAAACAATCCACATAATCTGATGGTCATTGAAAAATATTTTTTTTAAAATCCACGTCCTCAGATGGTCGTTGAATTTTTTTTTTAATATCCACGTCCTCTGATGGTCGTTGAAAAAATATTATTAAAAAAATTCAAGTCCTCAGATGGTCGTTGAATAAATATTTTTAAATAACCACGTCCACAAATGATCGTAGAAAAATATTTTTTTTTTAAATTCACGTCCTCCGATGGTCGTTGAAAATATATTTTTAAAAAATAGACTTCCTCTGATGGTCGTTGAAAAAATATTTTTAAATATCCACGTTCTCTGATTGGCCTTAAAAAATATTTTTAAAAAAATCCACGTCATCTGAGGGTCATTGAAAAATATTTTTAAAAAAATTCACGTCATCTGATGGTCGTTGAAAAAATATTTTTAAAAAATCCACATCCTCTGAAGATCGTTAAAAAAATATTTTTTTAAAAAATCCACGTCCTCCGATGGTCGTTAAAAAAATATTTTTAAAAAATTCCACGTCATCTGAAGGTTGTTGAAAAATATTTTTAAAAAAATCCACGTCCTTTGATTGTCGTTAAAAAAATATTTTTAAAAGATCTACATCATCTGATGGTCGATGAAAAAATATTTTTTAAAAATCCACGTCATCTGATGGTCGTTGAAAAAAATATTTTTAAAAAATCCAGGTTCTCTGATGGTCGATGAAAAAATATTTTTTTAAAAATCCACGTTCTCTGACGGTCGTTGAAAAAATATATTTAAATATCCACGTTCACAGATGGTCGTTGAAAAATATTATTTAAAAATTCTCCGTAACTAAACTGTCAAAAACGCTCTCCTTACTAGCTCTTGATGCTATTTTTATTTTATTATTATTATTATTTTTTTGTACTACGACCTCATTAACAACAATTGTAGGTTCCTGTACCTACAAGAATCTACTAATTTTGTAATTTTCTTCGATATCATAAAGGGAAACACGGTTATTGCAGTAAAAACTTTTACATTCTTGCAGTTCTGGAACAGACCAAATGCCTTTTCACATTTAATGCCAGACCTCTTATAATTGAGCCATCGTTGTGATTTACTTAAATTGTTGTACTAAATCTTGGCACCATTTCCATTTCTTCTCTCTTCCTTTTCTTATAAAACACACAAAATAATAATGGTTCAGTAAAAGTGTCTTGAAATGTACATATATACAATACAAACTTACTTGCTAACTATAATTATAACTTAAGTAGATTTAACTATTAACTATAAATTGAAGCAAAAAGAAAAGAAAAAACAAAATCAATCAAGTAGTGACATCATTATAAAAAACAACTCTCATTTCAAAAAAATTACATGGCATCACTTGTCATCTTTCTCTCTCTCTCTCTCTCTCTTCTCTAAATTTATACAATAAAGATTTCTCAACTATCTCCTTCCTTCCCCTTCACTATCGGAATCATGTATTGAGCTTTGATTAATGTACACAAAATTCCATATTTTTGTGGTAAAGGATAGCCCATGACAGAAGAATGTTGCCAAAAATATATAAAAAATTCTCGAAAAATAAGTTGATTTTTACATATTCCTAATGTGATATCTATTAGAAGCTGTTAAGATATGCGTTTTTATCAAATTAAACTAATTTAAGTAAAGTTCATTCAAATTTTTGAATAAAACTGTTTTGACATTTCGTTGTATCACCAGCAGTGTCTAGCGGCTACCTGTATTTTTTTATCAAGATTATCCCATGAGATACGATTTACGGCTCTTTAAACACAATCTGTTTTTATAAAAAATTTCGGCTTAACTCTAGTTTAGTAAAAACTCTTGACTCCGGAAACTGTTCGGAAGTTTAGTCAAATTATCGATTTTTTGGACCTCGATTTTATATTAAATCCCCAAATAGTCGAAAAAGGGCCCATTATGGGGCGTCAACGAAATTGATGCCAAATTATAGCTGCCACTTTTACCTTTCGAAAACGATACAATTTGTGCTAATACCTTTTCGGGTGCAGAGATATTCTCTAAATAAATAACCCCATCAGGGTAAAAACACCACCCTGGAATTTTTTTTACTAAACTAGATTTCTTTCCAACTTTCTGAGAAGCGCTAGGCGAAGCACTCTTCTTTAATGCAATTCGAGGCATTAAGGATCAAATGTCAAAAATTTCTTTGCCATACGCCACATTCTAAGGGGCAATGACACTATATATCTTAAGGCAAATGGCATCCAACATTAAACGCGGGAAAATATTCCGTAATAATCCATTGATGCTACAATTCATTTATCTAAAATTTTGCAAGTTTGGGAAAAAAATCATAGCTCCGCAAAAAACACGAGCAAATTCCATAAATCTCAATTTTATATCTATTACCTATCTATTACTTTTATACTTTAACTAATGTGATTCTTACCAAAAACAAAGCATAAACATGGCATTTAAAATGCACAACTTAACATGTTTTCTTAGCATACATATATTTATTTACATACTACTTCATACATATACATATATACAAATAAATACATCAACTATTTACATATACATCATCTAGCGGAAAAAAGAAACCCTGTTAATAAACGTGTGAATGTTATATTTAAACGAAAACAAAAAAAAAACAAAATCAAATTGTATTAAATCTGTTATGTGTATGTATGTACAAATTAAATATATTTATATTTAAAATGAAAAATCAAAAATAAAAAAAAGAAAAACTTTTTCAATCGAAATTCCCCTTTTTAGCAGCTATAAGACTAAAATAATAAAAAAATAGTGTGTATTATGACGAAATGTCTTCGTCTCTGAATCGTTGAAACGCAAAAGCAAAATGACATTTACTATTGAGTTAACAAATAAACAAAAATGATAAACAACAAATCCTAACAGAACATGCGAAAAATGCACAAAACAAATGTTTATTAAACTTGAATAGCCTTATTCTATACTAATAATTATAATATGCATAACTAATTGGCATTATTATTATATAAAATAAAAACTATTATATATTGTATAAAGAAAAAACCAAAAAAAAAAAAAAATAAATCAAAGAAATGTTGCAAAAACGCCTTATACTTACATACATACATACATTACATATATATGAAAATACTCATTACTTTACTAATTCATGTTGTTTTCCATTCCTTTGAATATCTCCCCTGATATTAGTTATATAAAAAGCCAAAACCTTTGAAAGGCTTGACACTGGTGCAGGCACTACACATTTCACAATGTGTGAAAAATGTGAAACTCACTTATTCTGCGTGGTTGACCCGAACACTGCAATATTTGGAGACGGGGCAAAGTCACGATGTGTAGATCATGGTCGAGATATTCAATGTTTCTGCCTCTGTCGTGTATTAGCCAAATAATATTATATTGTTTTTGTCTATACCAATTTTTTCAACATTTTCATTTAAAACTCCCTTTCCTTTTTTCTTATTCTCAAGTAAAATAAGCAATAATTACGCTTTAACAAAAAAAAAATCAAACAAATAAAAAGCTATCTTCATTTTGTGGTAAGCAAAATGAACATAGAAAACAAAATCGCCGAACTAATTACTAACATACATATTTAATTATTTCTATAACGACTCATAGATGCTGTTTTATTGAACGCATTTTAAATAAATAAAATATTTATAATAAACAAAATGTTCTATTTACCAAAGAAAAAATATAAAAACTGTTGAGAATTGAATCAAATATTGTACTTTAGCATAAAACACTTTGTCCAATATTATTAACATAATCTTAATAGGCTTTGATATCAATATGTTTGTTGTCAAATATGTATTCTCAGTTTTTTCAGTTCAATAAACGAATTCAATTATAACAGGTTATGGGCCTTAGTCACGTTTGAAAAAAATATTCGGCAAAACAAAATAGATACATTTTTTAATATTGAAAACTAGTGACGTTTGTGAAAAAAAATTAAAATGGCTGGTAATAACATAGCTTTTCCGCTAGAAAGATTGCGTGGACGCGAAAACTTTGATGTTTGGAAGAGGCAAGCGCAATCATATCTGGTCATTAAAGGGTGCTGGAAGGCATGTGTTGATAATACCGCTGATGCTGAATTGAATGCGAGAGCTTTAGCCGAGATAACATTGATGATTGAACCAGACAATTACGGCCACATTGCAACTTCAACTACCGCGAAAAATGCCTGGAGTGCATTGATGAATGCGTACGAAGATACGGGCCTTACCAGAAAAGTTGAATTGCTGAAGCAATTTGTGAACATCAAGCTACAGAACTATGGATCCATTCAGGAATACGTCAATGACATCGTTATAGTGGCTATTAAAGTGAAAAATGCTGGCTTAAACATTGA